GCTGGGGATTCGAACCCGCCACCTTAGGTGTATGTGGCTGGCGCCTTAGCCACTTGAGCCACAGGCGCCGAGCCTTGTTTTTGTTTTTTGAGACTAAGTCTCACTCTATTGCCCTGGGTAGAATGCTGTGGCACCATTATAGTTCACAGCAACCTCAAACTCTTAGGCTTAACCAATCCTCTTGCCTCAGCTTCCCAAGTAGCTGGGACTATAGGCACCTGCCACAATGCCCAGCTAGTTTTTCTATTTTTAGTATAGATGGGGTCACACTCTTGCTTATACTGGTCTTGAACTCCTGAGCTCAAACAATCCACCTACCTTGGCCTCCCAAAGTGCTAGGATTGTAGGCATGAGCCACCATGCCCTGCCATGTCATTTTCTTGTTGATTCTTTCAGATTTTCTGCAAAGATAATCATGTCATCTATGAACAAAGTTTTATTTTTTCCTACCCTTAAATTTTAACTTGTACCTGTGATTTGCAGGGCCTTAAAACTAATCACTTATCTCTGTACTTTCCTAATCTTGGCATTATTGACATTTTGGACCAGATAATTCTGTTGTGACAGCATCCTTGGCTTCTATACACTGGATGCCAGCAACATCCCCACCCCCACCACCAGTTGTGACAATCTAGCCATAGTCAAATGTTTCTTGGGAAGAAAAAAAATCTCTCCCACTTGACATCTACTGGCTTAAACAATACAAGGATTTGGGCTGGATGTGATAATCAATTTTACTTTTTTTGACAGATTTTAAAACTGAAGAGGAGCTGCTATCTTACATACATGAAAATTACCAAAAGGCTGTAGCCACAGGGGAAATCAAGCTGTATTCATGTGCTCAGAACATGATTTCAACTATTAAAATGTTCCTAAAATCAAAAGGCACTGAAGAATTAGAAGTAAGAGTCCAGATGTTGTTGGTTGTCATAGATGTAGTGAGTGGTTGCTGGTTGTTGGTGGGTTTGGTTCGTGTGTCTTAGAAAAATGTCTGTTTTGTACATGATTCAGAAATGATGAAAAGAATGAGTATAATTCTAGATCTTGGAAGGTGGCTATGGTTTTTTTTGTTTTATTTGAGACTGAGTTTCACTTTATTGCCCTAGTAAAGTGCTGTGGCATCGTAGCTCACAGCAACCTCAAACTCTTGGGCTCAAGCAATCCTCTTGCCTCAGCCTCCTAAGTAGCTGGGACTACAGTGACCTCCCACAACACCTGGTTGTTTTTTTAGAGACAGGGTCTCACTCTTACTTAGGCTGATCTTGAACTCCTAAGCATAAGCGATCCACCCACCTCAGCCTTCCAGAATGGTAGGAGTATAAGTGTGAGCCACTATGCCAGGTCTATACCTTTTCTTTTTTCCTATTTTTTGGAGAGATGGGGTCTCACCCTCAGGCTGGTCTCAAACTCCTAACCTCAAGACATCCTCCCAACTCAGCCTCCCAGAGCACTGGGATTACAGGCATAAGTCACTGTACCTGGCCTGGCATCTGTACTTTTAAAAAGCTCCCTAAATTATTGTTATGCAATGGGAGAGTTACAGAGCTCTGTTTTAGATCATAGCCATTGTTTTCATTCATGTTCAGTGGCAAAAGTTGGGCTCCTTCTCTAAAGGAAACAAGAGGATTTATTTATATTTAGGCTTCTTAGTTACTACTTTGTGGAACATTTTAAGACAGTTCAAATCTGTAGACTTCTTTTATCTATGCCCATATGCTCTCAAATACTTTTTTTTTTTTGTAGTTTTTGGCTGGGACTGTGTTTGAACCCGCCACCTCCGGCATATGGGGCCGGCGCCCTACTGCTTTGAGTCACAGGCACTGCCCTCTAATACTTTTTTTTTTGAGATAGAGTCTCACTATGTTAACCTCAGTAGAGTACTGTGGCATCACAGCTCACAGCAACCTCAAACTCTTGGGCTTAAGCGATTCTTTTGCCTCAGCCTCCCAAGTAGCTGGGACTACAGGTACCTACCACAACACCCAGCTATTTTTTGTTGCAGTTGTCATTGTTGTTTAGCTGGCCCAGGCTGGGTTTGAACCTGCCAGCCTTGGTGTATGTGGCTGGTACTGTAACCACTGTGCTATGGGCACCAAGCCTTAAATACTTTTTTACCATATTCTTTTCTCTTTTTCTTTCTTTTTTTTTTTTTTTTTTTGAGACAGAGTCTCACTATGTCACCCTTGGTAGAGTGCCATGGTGTCCAGCTCACAGCAACCTCCAACTCTTGGGCTTAAGTGATTCTCTTAAGAGACCACCATAGGTACCCGCCACAATGCCAGGATGTTTTTTTGTCGTCGTTTAGCTGGCTTGGGGGTTGAGAGGGGGGAGTGGGGGTAAAAATCAGCCAGCCTTGGTGTATGTGGCCGGCATCCTACTCATTGAGCTACAGGTGCCACCTATACTTTTTAATATATAAAAGAAGGGTATTCATTTTACTACTTTTCATTCAGATGAAAGAAGAAGGAAATTTTTAAGGGAATATTCTTCTCTTCTTAGGACATTAGTCAACTGTTAAAGAAATTAGAAATAATAATTAGTAGCTTAATATTCTCCTATATAATAATTTTGTATTTTCAGGTAAACTGCCTGAATCAAGTAACTAACAACCTCTTAAAAACTAGCAAAAGTCTTCGACAGAATCTACAAAAACAACTGGATAAGAAAGACAAAGTCAGAGAGTAAGTAGCTACCTTTTTTTTAACCTTTACTACAGAACAAAATCCCAAGATTTGCTTATATCCATTTAAAATAGATTGCTAATTGCTTACAGATGCTTTCATATTTTATTTTTATAATTTTCTAATGTGTGGTTTGAGTCACCCATTTCTCTAATAACTACCGTATATCAGGGTTTAGAGACGGCATTGGCTCTTCCCCTTTAGGGTAGTTCTTTCTTTCCTTTCCTTTCATTTTCCTTTTCCCTTTTTCCTTTCCTTTCATTTTCTTTCTTTTCTTTCTTTCTTTCGACAGGGTCCCATTTTGTCACCCAAACTAGAACATAGTGGCGTTATCATTGCTTACTGCAATCTCAAACCACCCTTGGGCTCAAGCAATCCTCCTGCCTTAGCCTCCTCCCAAGTAGCTGAGACTACAAGCACCTGCCACTGTGCCTGGCTAATTTTTCTATTTGTAGTAGAGATGGGATCTTGCTCTGGCTCCATCTGGTTTCAAACTCCTAACCTCAAGCAGTGTGCCTACTCGGCCTCCCAGAGTGCTATGAGCCACTATGCCCAGCCTGGTTGTTGTTTCTTATATAAATAGATCTGTGCTTAAGGAGGGAGCCTTTCGTTAAGTGGTATTCAAAGTAGACATGAGCAAGTATTTTTCTCTCGAGGTGCCAGCTTCAGGTGTTTCTTCGTTTGGAGATGTGTCTGCAGTGCCCTTCAGTATATGGAACTACAGATGATATGGAGCAGGTAGTAGAGGAGGCAAGTATATAACTTAGTGCCCTTGGAATACCCTAGATGCTTTCAGCTTCTCTTTAAAGGGCATATAATAATTTTTTAAAATCTACTTCAGGTAACAGATTTGCTGCGCCTGGTGTGTTTAACTGAGGACTCAGAATATCTAGCAAAGTTTCTGGAGGAAATTTTGAGATTGTAAGTTTGATGGCTACTAACTTAACTTTAAAAATGTCTTATAAAGAACTATGCACTTGATGTTATCTCAGAATTGTATAATTGTAAGGGTTATTTCTTAAGCTGGGTGACGGAGAGAATAAAGAAAGTGAGATGTAACTCTCTTTCATGTTTAACCAATCTCTTCCACAGGTATATTGACTTTATCCCCAAAACACTTGGAAATCTTTACAACAACCTAGGCTTTGAGATTCCCCAGAAGTTGGCTGGTGTCCTTCCTTCAGACTTTTTCAGTGATGACTCCATGACACAAGAGAGCAAATCACCACTTCATTCTGTGCCTTTTTTGTCAAGTGCTCATAGATCCATGTCAGGCAGCACTGAATCTGACCAACTGGAAGAGCTTCGTACCAGATCAGCTAAAAAGAGAAGGTAAGAGCTCAAGAAATCAAAGGATTACTTCATTGTTATAATCCTGACAAAAGGTATGTTTAAACCATGGTCCAGTTGTCTTTGTCTGTATACTTTATTGGATGAATAGTTTCCCTTCTGTTTAAATCACAGAAGCCCACTACTGGAATTCCTAACAAGGAGCATCTGACACTGTGTATTATCTAGGGAATATACAGCTATGTGTTGCTTAATAATGGGGATGCTTCCTAAGAAATGTGTCACTAGGTGATTTTGCCATCATGCAAACATCATAGCATATACTTACACAAACCTAGATAGTATATGTATTTTTATTTATATGTTTTTTTTCATATGGAAACCAAAAGTCCCAGCACCATTACTGAATGTCAGGCATTTACCCTACTTGATCTACAACACCAATATCAAGTGCTATATATCAGGTTTCTTATGGGACTGCTATCATACATGGGGTCTGTTATTGAGGGAAATGCCAGTTGCACATGACTTTACTATGTAGTTCACCAAGCTTTTCTTTACTATTCACATGAGGTCTCTAGGAATTAGGAGCCTTTGTTTAAGACCCTAGTTCCAGGCTAGGCGCCTGTGGCTCAAGTGGCTAAGGCGCCAGCCACATACACCTGAGGTGACAGGTTCGAATCCAGCCCAGGCCTGCCAAGCAACAATGATGGCTGCAACCAAAAAAAAATAACCAGGCATTGTGGCGGGCACCTGTGGTCCCAGCTACTTGGGAGGCTGAGGCAGGAGACTCGCTTGAGCCCAGGAGTTGGAGGTTGCTGTGAGCTG